TTGAAATCGTGTTTTGAATATCTATAAGAAACAAGGTTCAAAAGTAAAAGAATCATGATACAAGTTTTATTTTAATCCTAGAGAAATATAATCTAACCTAGCACGAGATTAACCTAACATGTTAAGACAGAGAAAACAAGACAAATAAATAAAATCCATCACCCGAAAGTCTTCAATTTAATCAACAGTTGTTTTGCACCTTTTTCAACCAAGAATTGTCCAACCTAACTACAAGTTGATAACCTCTATTTATATTCTCTCTTCCAAGTCCAAAAACCTCCCAAAGAATCAGGGGTGGAGCCAGGATTTTAGTTGAGTGCGAGCAAAAAAATTTCGACCTCAAACGTCGAGATTTTGGTAACGGATTTAATGATGATACAAAAGCCAATACTATAAGCAATTCACATTTACATAGCAATACCAATACTATAAGCAATATAAGCAAAGGCAAATCAAAGTAATACACTGAACAATTCCATTCACACAGCAATACCAATACTATAAGTAATTCACATTCACAATTCATAAGGCAACAAGCCAACACATTCATCAATTCACAGATTCACAATTTCATTCACAAATCACAAAGGCAATATATAATATTTCAAAATTCTAGTCATAGATAGTAAGCAACTCACAGTGTAGGCAATGGCAGTGCCAGTACCTCTTTCAGTTCGAGCAATTGAAGAGCTACTAATTGCCTAATTCCATTGTTAAAAACAAAAATCAAATCACACAAATCAGAATAACAAAAAAAAAAAAAAATACAAAAAATGAGTTAGGTAGTGTTTGATTCACCCATTCCTTGGAAATGGGGAAATGGGTGGAAAATTCCCATTTTTCACCCAAAATATAGTATTTGATTCACAAGATTTTCCATGGAATTGGTTTCTAGCTTTTATTGGAAGTTGTGCTATTCCTTGATTTGGTGGAATTCCAATTCTCACCATATATGGTGAGAATTGGAATTCTTGGCTACTGTAGCAATTATTTTTTTTCGTTTTTTTTAGGCAATGGAAACCAATTCTAAGAATTATTGTAAAAAAATATTTCTCTTTTGTTGATAATTTTCATATAAAACAAAGTCAAACGAATACTAAAAAATAGATGATTTTCTTGAATTTATTATTATTATTATTATTATTATTTTTTTTTTTTTATTATTTTTTATTTTTTGGCGATGGAAACCAATGGCATCCCTAATACCAGTAAATACTATCATTTTAATTGACAGTTTTCATGTAAAATAAAGTCAAACGAACATCAAAAAATACTTTTATTTCAACATTTTTCACGTGGAAAATTATACCAATCAAACACAATAATTTACAATTCCCAAGAAAATAATTCTAGGCAATTTAATTCTCTGAAATTCGTTTTCCATCCAATTCAATTCTATCTTTGCAATCAAACGGGCCATTAATTACAAAATCAGCCAACCAGGGTCGGTGGAATTTGAAAATTGGGGCTTTGCCTTCAGACGAATCAAACGACTGTGCCGGTTGAGTGGCTGTCGATTGCTGTCGGAGGTTACGGACGGGAGAGGTTACGAATTAGACCTTCAAACGAAGGCTCTTACTGAGCAAGACAAGGAAGAGAAGGGGTTGACTCATGACTGGTTGTCTGGTTGAGGGTTTTGAGGTTGTCGGCGGGTGGAGTCACGATTCACGAAGAACAAAGCGGGCGATTGAAAAATGAAAATGGAATTGGAAATTTTGAATCGATTCAATAATTTCAATTGAATGGGAATGAGTTTTGTTTTTGTAAACGGGTCATGGGTATTGGGTGATGATGTTGGGCTAGTGGGCTTCGCTGGACAGCTTGCTGGAGTCTGAGGGAATTAACACATAAAAAAATAAAAAATAAAAAACATTTGGGCCTTGAGGTTGAGCCCAAAAGTCCAATGCGGGCTTATGCCCGCATTGGACTCCATTGGGCTCCACCCATGCAAAGAATCATAAAAATCATGACCCTAAAAGGTTTCCTTGTTGGAGTGAAATTTTGGAGCAAAAATAGAATTTGACACGCGATTGGCATGGGTGATTGCCCATATAAACTCAAGCGATCGCTCAGGCTTAATATTTCTCTGTTGCTTCTATGGTTAATATTTGGACAGTCACTTAGTGTAAAATATTTTTCAAATATGCACTGTAGTCGCTGAATGTGTTTTCCATCTACTTTGATCCTTACTATTAATTTTGCCCATTTTGATCCTTCAACTTTTAATTATGTGCAAGTTAGTCTCCATACTTTCTAGATAGTTGTAAAATCATCCTTCTTTGCATCATTTCTTCTTCAAGTGCTTAGAAACAAGTCCAAAATTAAAACGAGAAAATTAAACCAAACTAAGTAGAAAATAAAAAATTTAACATAATAAATACTTGGTTTTATAAACCGAATAAATGCACAAAGCGCACTTATCAAGAAGCAGTAAGTTAACTGCTACATAGTAGAGAGAGAAAAATTGTGAGTAGAGGGAGGCATAAAATTATAAAGAGAAATATATTGATTTCTTACTAGTGTTTTCTACTTAATTTCTTCTATTACAAGAGAGAGAATTTGTTGTTATTTACTTATATTTAGAGATAAGGTTATTGTAATTCTTTTCTATAGTGCAATCCTCGTTTACTTGTCCGTGCACATAGTCTAAATTGGAACTCCTAACGATTTTCTTAATGGATTTCTACCTAAATACTTGCTTTCTTCATTATTTTTAAATTTTCATAGTTTAGCTTTTAATTAGGAAAGTTAAGTGCAAAACTGTAGTCTTAATAATGTGTTTTTTGTTGAAGTTAATTTGACTAAAGTATAGCCATTATTCATATTTTCTATAGAATAGAAAAAACAATTAAAGTATAAAACTTACGGCCAACGAGAAACATTTTATCAAATTTTCTCATCTGCTTTCCACTTGCTAATTGAGATTAAGTTCTTCTGTTATTTTTTGTTTTTTTAATAATCTTATATGTGTGTGTGTGTGTTTAATACTGGAAAAATGGTGCTCAACAACATTAAAAAGAGAAGGGGAAAAAATACACATTAAAATCTTAATCATTGAACTATGTGAATAAAGTAAAAACATTGACCGTGCTGATTTTTAAGTCATTAGTTGCATCCCAAAATCCACTTGCTTCGTGCACCTTCGAAGAATTTCTTCTATTCAAAGACTCAATATTAATTTAATTGTTATGTTTATAGGTTAAGAGATGATTGATTTAAGATGCAATTAACTCTTGCCTTGCTACTGTTTGGGCGAGAGTTAGGTGAAATTTACAAGTAGTTGGAGGAGTTTGTATTCTGAGATTTCCGTCTGGTGCAATTTGGAAACTTAATTTTTGGGGGGCTTTTTGGCTTTTCAAGCACAGTTTTGACACTTTTTCACGATATCCAATACCATCTCACACATAAAACATCATATCCTAAAATCAAATCATAATACAAAATTCATCTTTTAGGGGAGAATTCAAGAGAAGGGTTCAAAAAATATTGAAGGTCAATTCTTGATGATTTCCAGATTTCTTATGGTGATTAAGATTGAAGAGATTCATCATATTTTGTTGTTCCTTAAATAAATAAGTGATGTTGATGTCATTTGCTTCTAATTCTGATTCCTTAAGCATATTTAGCGTGAACGATGTATCTAATTGATTTCTTCACGTTGATAATTTATTGTTTAGATCTCGCTTCTATAAAGTGTGTTGAACTAGCATGACTAATATTTTCATTTTCATATTTGTTAATGAGAATTAAATTATACGATCTATATTTCATGTTAAACAAAGAGGTTGCGTGTCTAAACATATAATCTTGCTTTTCATGAATTCATTGTTAAATTGAGAGTTTGTACTTGTTCATGCAATTATTCTATGTTCTTAGATATCACTGTTGTCAACTATTAATCAAGAGAGAAAAGTTGGATAATTGGTGATATTTTAGCTAATATTCTAGGGACGAACGTTAACATATTGGATATAATGATGGCAGCACATATATAAACCAAAATATGAATTGAACATAAGTAGCATTAATTAATGAAATCGGAACTCCTTACTATTTTCTTAATGGGTTTCTACCTAAATACTTGATTTCTTCATTATTTTTAAATTTTCATAGTTTAGCTGTTAATTAGGAAACTGAAATGCAAAACATTAATTATGTGTGTTTTATTGAAATTAATTTGATTAAAATATAGTCAATAAACATATTTTCTACAGAATAGAAAAAAAAATTAAAAAACTTAGGTCCAAACAGAAACATTATCAAATTTTCTCATCTGCTTTCCACTTGCTAATTGAGATTAAATTCATCATTTTTCTTTTATTCTTATATATATATTTTTTTATTTATTAAATGCATGTGTTCCATTTAGTTCATAAATTGTGTTTTACCTGTAGCTTTCATTTAAGATTGTATTTTCTTGGTTAATGTATTCTTCTTTCTACTCATGTTAACAAATTTTAAACCAATTTATTATATGTGTCATTTGATTTGGACAAGTAAATACAAGTAATGGGTATGGTAATGTGATAGGTTAGTTTCAAGTCATTTTCTTAAGATGGAAGATAGTGTTCAACAACATTAACATGAAAAAAGGCATAAAAATCTTAATCATTGAACTATCTGAATAAAGTAAAGACATTATTGACCGCGCTGATTTTTAAGTCATTAGTTGCATCCCAAAACCCACTTGCTTCGTGCCCCTCCGAAGATTATCTTCAATTCAAAAACTCAATATCACCCTTACAAATTGTTTCTTGTCTAAGTAATAAATTAAATTTTCCTCACTTAAATGATTAGCACAAATAAATAAAAAGGATAATATTATAATATATTTTCATAATTCTGAGATGTAAAAATTTAAAATTTCTTGCAACTTGCATTAAAATGCAATTGTAAGCCATGATGTTTGTAAGAAAATTGTTTAGACCTCTCTCTATATATACAGCCATACTTTACTCATTTTTACATAGATACTCTCTTCTCCCCCAACCCACCCGACAACCAAGAAAATGGAAGCAATGGCTTCTCACCTCCCTCAGCCATCTGTGGAACCATCAAATATCAATTCATGCGTTAAAATTCTGGCAGAATCTGCCGATCTTAAGTCTGTTCCTTCTAATTTTTCTTTTATCCATGATCCCACATGCTCAAATTCTGATTCAATCCCCATTATTGATTTCTCCCTTCTCATCTCTTCCAATCCTGATCAAAGGTCCAAAGTCATCCAAGAACTAGGCAAAGCTTGCAATGAATGGGGCTTTTTTGTGGTATAATATATATAAACTTTCTTGAATTTTGTTTGCTATATTGTCCAGCACTTCATTTTAACTAGTGCCCGCATTTTCAATTGCTGGTTTTTTCAGCTGGTAAATCATGGGATACCTGAAACCTTAGTGAAAGCAATCGTTGATCGGTGTACGGAGTTCTTCGATTTGCCTGAGGAGAAGCGGAAGTATGAAACAAGTTCTGGTCCCGTCAAGCATAGCACTGGCAGCATCTTAAACAGTTCAAAAGAGGGAATTTTCCAATGGAGGGATTTTATTCACACCGTTGTGCATCCTGAATATCATTTTCCTGATAAACCTCAGAATTTAAGGTAAACAGCACATGCAACATAGATGGTGCTTTAACTAATAAAGGTAAAAAGATGTATTTAGTTCAATTTGGTTTTGCTAAAAATCTTATATTTAGGACCCGTTCGATAGTGATTTTGAGAACTGTTGAATTTAACTTGAATTTTTATCAATTTCTTTAATTAAAACAACTGAAATTTTGTATATTATTTTAGGGAGATTTTATATGAGTACGCTGAAAATTCCCGATCAGTTTCAAAGAAATTACTCCAACTGTTGTCAACAACTATGGGATTGGAAGAAGGATTTATGGACGAAACCCGAAACTTGAACTCAAGTTTTCAAATATTCGCTGCAAATTGTTATCCACCTTGTCCACAGCCTGATAAGACAATAGGCACCCTACCTCACACCGATCCTCGTCTTTTGACGTTTCTGATACATAATGGAGTGGCTGGATTACAAATTGAACACAATGGGAAGTGGTTTAGTACCAATTCACCTCAAAATTCTATTCTTGTTAACGTTGCTGACCAGCTTGAGGTAAATAATTTTTTCTTTTACTGTTTCTCTTCTTCTTCTTCTTCTTCTTCTTCTTCTTCTTCTTCTTCTTCTTCTTCCACTGTTCTGCATATTATGTTGTAATTGCTGATAAACTATCAAAAACTCTATTATTATTATTATTTTTTTTTTTTTTTTTGCTTTTTTTATTATGAGTCACATATAAGACCTACAAATTTTTCTCACTTATTATCCATACATTTCATAAGACCTACAACTTATAATCTAATAAAATCTTTGCCAAACATGATACAAATATATTGAAGGCACAATCAACCTAATATTAATATGAGAAAAGCCATATCTCTTTCAGAATAAATACTTGAATAGATTGCTTCTCTTTGTAGAAGTTTACCATTTCACTCATGGAAAACACAAGACTTTTCTCTCTTTTGCATCACCCACTTATTAGAAAAATATGTTCGCCTTAGAAATTATTTTTTCTGAGATAAACCCTGACAACATTCTCAAACTTTGTTTGGTAGAGAGCTAGTGTCAATGATGACACTTCAATTAAACAATCTCTTCTCTAAAAATTTAAATTTTTAAATATTATAGTTAAAATAGTACCGGAGTGGGCAAAGACTTGGATTGAATTCTCAAAGCTACCTATCTATGAAAAGTTATTGTGTGCCAGGACTTTGATGAATCCAACCTGTATCATATTTGTGAGTTTAAGAGCTTTGAGCTCACCCTCATTTCTAATATATATAGCAAAGATCCATCTATATTTTTTGGTAGTCAACTCACATTTTTCTTATCTAACGATATATGTAGCAAACCTTGAATCCACCTCTAGAATTTGTTTATTGTAAAATCAATATAAATAAAATCTATTGCATTTGAAGTATTTATTTTTTGTCAGATATTCAGCAACGGAAAATACAAGAGTGCGAAGCATAGAGCTGTTGTCAATGAACAGACGACAAGACTTTCAATTGTTTTATTTAATGGCCCAGCATCAGACTCCATTGTTAGTCCTGCTTCACAGTTGATACAAAGAGATGGTCATCCATTATATCGGCCAATGAAATACATAGAATATATGAAAATAAGGCAAAAGGATCGAGTTGTTGGCTATTCAAGCTTGGATTGTGTGAAAATACTAGACAGTTAAGGAATCGGTCTTTTAAGCCTCTATCACTTAATTGCCTGATTAGTTATTGGTCTGAACTTGTTGAAGTTTCTTTATGGAAGTTGTTAAGCACATATATGCATATATATGTTATTAAGGAATTCTATATTGGCGACATATTGAAGATAATTTAAATAAATAAATTGATATCGTTTCTAAAATTTTAATACCACATGCAATATGATATGTTGACCTCGCGAAGCGGACCTCCATATGGCCAATCGAGAGTCACTTTACGCGTTCCTCCCTGCACACAATAACACATGGTCAGAAGCAAACGGCTGAAACCAGCGGGGGTAGTGGCGGTCGCATACACTCCGATGGTCAAGTCAGTTGGTGGTGATCGGAATGATGCCGAAATTGTGCAAGAGAGTGAGGAGAAGAATATATAATGCTTTGAGTACCCTTGTCTCTTGCTGATCCTTTGATATTTATAGACTAGGAGCACCGTTGGATGTAGGACACGTGTATGCATCTGACAGCCTGAAGCGTCTGTTCATAGGCGTCTATCAGCCGCATCTAGAGCGGGCTAGTAATTAATTCCTCTGGATCAAATTTGACATAAAATTGATACGTCACATTAATCAAGCTATGAAGACATCACATCGATTAATCCATTGAGGTAAAAAGGGATCCTGACACAAAGATCTTTTTGAAACTGGTGGCGGGGGATCTGTTGAGTATGCACGTCGGAGTATCACATGCTTCAGAACCAAGGGGATGCTTCGGATTTTTGGCAAATTTACTTGTGCCTTGCAGCACGTCGAGACGAAATTGGTCGAGGCGCCTATCACTTCAGAATTGCTTTGGAGGCACGTGGCACCTCGGTGAGGAGTAGGTGTGATGTTCTGAAGTGTTTATTTACCATAAAAATAAAACTCCATTTTTTTCTCCTCAAATTTATTTTCAACTATACATTCACACATAAAATATTGTACACGAAAACTCAAAACTTTTTCTTAATTTTTAACCACACATTCTTCAAAAAAAAAAAAATCACTATTTCAAAACTCATTTTTGCCGAAAAACTCATTAAAATGATTATCAAATTGGGGCTAAATACCTAATGGGTAATCAACATAAAACGTCCTTATCTTTTAATATTATTGTGCAAATGTTCATACCTTTCATTTTTTGACATTGTTACCCCCATTTTCACCTTTAATTGTACAAAATGTCATTTTTATTCAATTTCTCAAATAAAAAAATTGTAGAATGATAAATATACCCTCTTATTTAAATTAAAAAGAAAAAAGAACAAGATGTAATTATATTCCCAAACTCTTTAAAAATCTACAAATGCTAAATAAATTATTAAAATGGTAATTAGCACAAAATGTTCCTACCTTACAATATTATTGTGTAAAACGTTCATACTTTTCATTTTTTGACATATTTATCCTTATTTTCTCATTTCTTTAAGAAAATCATCATTTTCATCAATTTTTTTCAAATAAAATCTGTAAAATAAAGAATATACCCTTCTATTTAAACCAAAAAAAATAAAGAAAAGAAAAATAAAGAACGAATTGCAACTATACTCCCAAATTTTTCAAGAAAAAAAAAACTACAAATAAATTTCAAATAAATAAATAATTTTTTAAAAAAAAATTCACTTTCATTTTTTAATTATTTAATGTCAAATATACACTTCTACCTTCCAATTTTAGACATTTTCATCCTTAATTCATTTTATTATGTAAAATGTCATTTTAGTCAATTTTCATCCAAATACTCCTTGAGTAAATGCATGAAAACTCCTCTTGTCCAAAGCGAAATGTATTCTCATCTTCTCACAAAATTTTTCATTTTCTTCCTGTTACTAACCTATGAAGAACACGTAACATCATTGTGACAAAAGATCAAGCCGAAGACTGAATTCTTCTGACACGACCCGTCCCGAATCATCCTAATAGACCCCACACGTGTCATGCGCCGATAGTAGATACCAGCTAAGTGTCGAACCCACCATCAAGACAACTTTGACCCGTTATGACTGTTATATACTTTGTAAAAATTTTGGCAGAGTTCCTCCTGAAATATGGACTAAAACCACTTGAAATATATAATCCAATATCCCAAACAGATACATATAGTTTAAAATAGGGTACACTGGCCCACATAATATCAACTATTCAAATACAACACTAGCAATTCGACCTTTGCAATAATTTATAAACCAGAGTACCCAAAATGCATAATATATACAAAACATAGCAAGGCCAAAACATGGAACTAATTTCTGACCAAAAGAGGTGTCTATCCCAAAATATGAGCTATTGAACTGATAAGATGAGTCATACAATGCTTGACAATCTATGGCTCAACTCGATAGATCAACTGGCCCAGTAGTGCTCAACTCAGTTACTATCTGATAAGAGAAATTGTGATAAAAATGCGAGCCTATAACTCAGTGAACGGATATTTCATAAATAAATATATATTTTCTAGATATGCCAACTTTCTGAAAACTGGTATATAATAAAAATGTTCTTTTATTGTACTATAAGCTAAAACATTTATTCTTTAAATTGAAATGACTAAATTCTGTAATCTGAAAACTGATGAACTGCAATTTACTGAAAATCATACCAAAAAGATACTTGAAATAACCTTACTCATGTATCAATTAGTACCGATATACATTGCAGAGCTATTCGATTCTATAATTCTGTAATTCTTAAATTCTAGTCATAAACGTGCAGAGCTGAAATTCTATAATTCTGGTTATATACTATGGAAAAACATTCACAATAATGCAGAGCGGGTAAAATCACCATAATTGATCATACACTGTGGAAACACATTCACACTAGTGCAATGCGGGTAAAATCATCATAACTAGTCATACACTGTGGAAATATATTCAGATCAGTGCAAACTGGGGTAAAATCACTTGGGTACTTTCTGGTGGTTTTAAGAAATAACTTTAAATATTCTAAAATACGTAATATCAATAAAACATGCTAATGAAATGATTTAACTAAATTGAATCAAACTTTAAAAACAACTGTTTATAAATCAACTTTATTCTGAAAATCATGCTATCAAATCAACTGTATGAAATAATAAATTTTCTGATTTAATATAAATTGAATAAATACTTATTGTTGAAAAATTAATTTTCATCCACTCACTCAATACGAGTTACAAACTAGGCTGATCGGTAAGTTTTTCCAATTTTTCGTCACCACCTGAAATACGTTACAAAATAACTAATTTAATCACTATTAAAATAAAGAAACATTTTATCTCTAATGATATAATAATTAAACTAAATTCTCTGAAACTTGCGAAATTTTTCTAAATTTTCTTTAATCAATCGGAGCTAATTTCCACTTTCTAATACCTTCACAATTATATGCCACGTCCAAATTTAACTTCATTCCCATCTACAACCAAATTAATATATCCAGCGTTCCCCAAAATCATTCTTCCAAGTGAATAATTCCATTAATGTAATCATTTCTACAAATAATCCATGCTCAATCATCAAATTTAAAAACTAGGGTTTGCCAAAAAAAAATAAAATTGATATCTTCTTACCTTAGTGTAAATAGAAATTCAAGAATCAATAACTTGATCTCCAAGTAGTATTCATCTCAAAAATATGAAAATTTCGAGCCAAAATAAAACCCTAGAATTTTAACATAAAAATTATCTACCTCTTGAAGGAAATAAAGAGAAAGGAAAAATGGAAATAGACCTTGAACTACCTCTTTCTTTTTTTCTTCTTTTTCCTTTTTCTCCTGTTCTTCTCTCTTTTCTTTCCCTTTTTCTTTCCGTCGATTTCTTCTTCTCTCTGCCGGTTCCAGATTTTTTTTCCTATTTATTTGATGGATTGATATATTAAAAAACGGGGGGCTAATTGTTGTATAATTGCCACATGCCCTCCATAACACCAACTTAGGCAATTTAAGTCCTTCAACTCCATTTTTTATATCACATTTAACCATAAACTTCCAAAATATATAAGTAATTTCCTAACTTTAAATTGTATCCAATTTTACCCTCATATATTGTCAATTGTAAAATAAACCCCAATATAAGATTTTAATCAATTCAAGTCCCAATAAAATCATTTATTTCATTTAAGTCCCTATGTGACTTTGACTTTGAAAATTCAACTCTTGACTTTTGACTAAATAATATGGGTTATAACAACCTTCTCCTCTCTTTGTGGCCGTTAAAATCTTGCATTCCTGCCACTGCAATGATGAATACACAGTAAATGACCAAAGGTAAAGAAGTATTTTGGTTATTATTATTTATTATAATTATTATTTTTTTCCATTTCCTATTTTCTTCTTTTGGGTGATTGACAGACTTGTGAGGGTTTGGCTTCTACTTTCTTAAGAATGGTGGTTCTTGTTGTTTCACTGGTATCTATCATCTTTCACACAAAAATGTTTCCTCCAATATTGAGAAACCCGAAAGACGACCCACCCATATACGGCTATAGTTCAATACTCATTTTGGCTTGGTTTTGCTTAGTTTTAAATGCACAGTGGGAGTTGGTTTTGTTGATCATGTGTAGTTTTGCTATATGTTTTAGCCTTTTCAATGGTTTTTGTCTGTTGCTTCTGAATTGCTATGCATCAACAGGCTTCATAACTAAGAGGACATGGACGTAATCTGCCAAATACATATATAGGTAGGGACGGTTTGCATAATAAATGTCATATGTAGGGATGTTATACGTCAAAAATAGATTACGATGTTTAACACAAAATTAATTAAAAGCTAAAATTAGGATGAATAGCTCTGGTTCATTGGCCACAAGTTTATTGTCTTTTTCACCATTGAAAAGGGTTGGGTAATTTAACAACATTACTGCAACATTTCGGATTCTGGTTCTACACATCTCAGTTGCCATTGTTCTTTTCATGGTGAATTACAAAGTGCTTTATGTCATTTTAATATATTTAATAGAATAATTAAATTAAATATTGAATGTTTACTATAACTGTAGTTAGGGAACA